CATTTTAAATGTATTAATAAAGCCAGTATAGTATAAATAAAGCCATTTTAAAGTAATTTTAAATGATCAAAAAATATTTTAATAGGATCAAGGCAGAAATAATATACCAGAATTTTTTTTATATTTTTAAATCATTTATTTATATTATGTTTAAATCATTTAGAAATATGTTATTTCTAATGCTTCTAAACAAATGAGAAAAATGTAAACAAATAGACAGAAGTAGTATGGAATCATTAATGTTTTAATTAATAAATATAAATGATTTTTATATTTTCGGAAAACATTTACGTTCTATGCAACTAAAGATATGTCGGTAATACAGAATTATTTATCTATATCAACTGTAAGAAATTGATAATAATTTTAAAAAAATGTGCATATAAAAAAATGTAATAGCATAAATACTTAATGTCATATTGAAATCGTATTATACATGAGAGACACACAAAACTCACGTGTAATTTGTCAGACAATGGGTTTTAAATCGAATACAATGAAAAACAAAGGCTCGGCAATGGGAAAACGTCTGCTCTGCATTATCTAAGCGTACATACGAGGGACTAACAATCGAGCCATACATTCTCACAATGCTGGAATAATGCTCGAGCAAAGAACAAAGTTTGGAGTTTCTTGTTCATCCGGTCCCTTTTGACATGTGAGCGACAATCTTGGATTCTCGAGCATTTAACGTGTAAGGCATCGCTCTGAAATAAACGTCGGCCAATTAAGTAAAGAGCATTGTTTTGCGCAATCCCGAAAAAATTGCGGTATAGCTAACAGCGCACAGCAGAAATGGCAGTAGTGCTAATGCTGAGAAAAGAGCGGAAAGAGACGTCGACGGGAGGTCCACACCCAAATGTAGTCTCGACCTTCTATCATCATTTGTTTGCATGCATTGTCCTTACTTTTATTATTATTAAAAATGCAAAGAAATGTCGATGAAAGGTAGAGTCACAGCCAAGACAAAAATGGATAACAATAAAGATAGAAGAGTCCTTGAAGCATCATCCTTTCGCAAAAACATTTTTTATTTTGCTCTCGGTGCGATTTCACCAGAGCACGTTGGCAGTTCTCGTTGCCAACGAGAAGCCTCTTATGAAATATAATTGATCCGCCACTCGTCTTAGGATAGAAAATGAGAAGGGGACAATTGGTCTGTTCTGAGAAAACCAATTTTTCCGGTGATATTCAGGCTCGCGTCGGCGCCTGCTCTCATCTTATCGATCGACGCGCGACTGCGAAACGTGAGTCCGCCCCTCGGGCGCGCCTGCGCTGCGCTTTTCGCACTGCAACATCGCCGACTACTAGCCTTCCTCCCCTGTTTCTTTCTTGGCACTCCCTTGAGCTTCTTGCCCTACAATTTCTGAAACCACACGTGTCAAAATCACTTTCCTTCTTTACCTGTACTTCTTCCGACAATGTCTCATTATCAACATACTTTTTCTACCCAATTCTTTATCTCAAGCATACATGCATCCACAGCTCTTTTCCGTTTAATTTATTGAAACGCCTATAATCATAGGACTTAGCAATTGACTCAGCAAGAACGCCGTTCGCGCTCAATTTGCCGATTCTTTATATCGCCAAGAAGGGAAATGAGATAAAGGAAGAGTAGGAAGGGGAGAAGGAAAAGTAAGCACGGAAAGGAGCAAAGAAGGTAAAGGTGTGTGGCGCTTGACATCCTTGGCTACTGTAAACGTATGTAAAATGTGTCTATGTATATGTATAGGCAGGTACGTCAGTATTCCGCCTTTCGCCCTTTTTTCGTAAAGCGCCTGTGCCATGCAAATGACAGACAGAGGGTAGCTCGTTAAGTATAACAGGATGCACCAAGCACGTCTCTAATGGAAAACGCTAAAGAATTACGGTACCCCCCTCTCTCTCTCCCTACTGTTCTCGTTCTTTCGCTCTTCATCCCTCAACACTGCATTTTGCTCCCTCTATTTTTCCCTCTGCTTCGCGCATGGCTCCTATTGTGCGTAAGCAGCGACTCGAACATTTTCAAAACTACTTGTACATTAACGAGTAGTCTGCTCCTCTTCCACCTCTCCTTCGCTGCTTTGCTTTCTATGAAGCTCTTTTTCTTGAAACCGCCGCGAGAAACGAAGATAGTAGAGTGATAATTGACGAGAACATAGAAATAGGCGCAAATTCGTAATTAGAAGAGCGCGAAATATTCACTACCGCAGTATATTTGCATAGCCGCCCATGACAACGAAAGTGGAGCCCCAACTAATTAACGGTTGTAGCATCAAGCTCGTTACCGTCTTTTCCTTAATTCCAAACTCGTGATACCTTTAACTTTCGACAAACCGAATTATCTGTAGGTCGAACACGATTAAAATGACACCCGTACTTCTTATTCGATTGATTATCACATTAATCATTCATTTTCTGTGTCTTCATAAATTTTCATGACAATGTCGATATATCACCAATGGAAGCTTCTCGCACATCCCCATCAAAGCTTGGCCAAGTTTATAATTAGAGCTTTGGGGGTCAGGATATAATTGCCTCTTCAAAGGCTGCTCATCCGAGAAGAGAGATTTAGAGAGGCTTCCGTACCTCTAGTTTCGATCCACACTCGGCTTTACGATGACTGTATAACGTTTATTATATGCTGTTCATGAACCCTTGGAAAAATTTCCACTACGTATTGTGCTTTATTTTATATCTTGTTCTCTTTAAGCGTAAACCATCAGTAAGATATCTCTATTTCTATCAAGTATAACTTTCTCAAATTTGTTTAAATACAAAATCAATAATATAGATAAATTAAAGGGGAAAAAAGCAATTAAAAGCTTGCAAGCAAGAGAAAGAATTGCATGTATTATTTAAAAAAAGAGATACTATCGGAGTCACTTTAACTAGATATATAGAAATTAAACGTATAATTTTCATAATATTGATTATTTTAGAAATAAAAGATACATTAAAAATGGAACAAAATTATTAAAACAGATGTTCTATCAAAACTAAAACTTATTTTTGCTAAAATGAAAAAAATTAAAAATTCGAAATATTATTAATAATTTGAATATTGACATCTTATTTATTATACAAAAATATTACTATTGTAGAATTTAATTTTGGTAAACAGTAACCAACATATAGTTTGCAAATTTTATTATAGACAATATAATAATAGTATTACTTTCTATTATCTTACGTACTTACCTCTTGTAAACCTTTTTATACTCTTTCTTTTATATCTCTTTCAATTCGATCATTATATTACCGATTATCTTTTCCTATCGAATGCTTTCCTATGGTCAATATATTTAAAAAATATGTCTTAAATTGTATTTATATTTATTATTTTTCAAAATAATTTATCTTTATTGTAATGGTAGCACTTCAAAATTAAATTCCTTGCATGCACATATTTACGATAGTTAGTTCAAAATTTTTTATTTTCTTGGTATTTATGATCCATACATGCAACTTCCATCAATAACAACATTAACGGATGACAGAATAATCAATCCAAACGCTTATCTCCCCCCTCTCTCTCTCTCTCTCTCTCTCTCTCTAAACTTGCTCTTCCCCTTTTATACCACGTACCATACACACGCATAGATAGAAATCTTGCAACAGGAAATAACACAAGCTAAAGCTTCTCCTTCGAATCATTGTGCCTGCATAGTGGACAAGAAGCCAACTAATAAATACCTTTTCTCCTAGTGCATTACAGCTCTCGTATAACTCACCATTAGAGATTGCAAAAGGTATTCATAAATAAATTTGTATGCATCCAATTTGCTTTAGTAATTCTTCGAGTTGAGCTGTATCATAAATTATTCCAGTAAACTTTGACATTGCAATAAAGTGTTTGTCAAAGTATATTTTTATCAAAAACGGTTTATTAATAAAAGATATGTTGATAACGCTATCATCAAATAATTTCTATAGAACAATAATATAAAAACATTTATGCAAAATTTCAAAACAGAATACTTGAGTAAGTAGAGAAAATATCGCTGTCAAAATTTAAATGAAATCGCCACTATTGATCGACATGTTAAAAACAATCATTTTAGTTGAATTTACATGCAAATTAAAAAAACCATATTATTCTATGTAACAACGTACTGCATTGCATTTAATGTAATGAAGTTTCTTCGTCTAGTCTAATATGATCTTGCACATACGGGTTCTAACAAATAAATAAAAAAAAAAACGAAAAAATAAATTACACCTTCTAAAAATTTGGTTAAAATATTCGCTTGATTTTCGATATACTCAAAAAACTAATCATGTTGCATTAAAAATATTCAGAAGTATAATCATAATTATAAATAAGATGAAAAATCTTCAAAAAACTTCTAAAAAACTTCTAAAAAACTTCATAAAAAATCTGTTAAATTATATTTTAATTTTTTCATCTTTTTATTTTTAATTTGTTGAATATTCAGATGCTAAAATGTAACTTTTCAGTATAAGAAAATCACATCACGTTCCAGCTCAAAAGAAATAAACTTTACTATCATACAACAAATGGTCATCTGATTTATCGATTTATATACTTCAACTATTATAATAGCATTTTTATCAGTCTTATTTAATATTGAATTATATTTGGATTATACATTACAACTATTAAACTATTTATACTATTCTCAATAGTTATTTTCATATATTTAATAAAAGTAAAAATCATTATTATTTTTAGTTTAGTATAATTTTCTAATAAGCATATAAGGTGGTTGATATTGCTTTAATTAAGTAGACTTGGGGAATAAATTTAATAACTGTTTCTTAATTAAAATGGGCTATACTGAATGGAAATCAGAAAATGCTAACACTTACTAGAAAGCTTAGTAGTACTTATTTAATTTAGAGTCGTGCGCGCACTACCCTCGACGATGTACATAAATAACTAAAAATAAAGTGTAAATTGATGAATAAAAATGCTTGAATGACACATAATTACTTATAAAATAATTAATATTTTTATTTCATTATACATTACCACATTTATATATAAGTATATGGATACAGATATGCATGTGTGTATGCATATATATATATGTATATACACTCAAGAGTGTACTAAGTAATAAAAGCCCATTTACAAAGTTTACGGAAATACGACCGATATAGTTGTTCATAGATTAGCCAATTTGCCTAGAAAATTGATCCGCACACCGACTTGATGAAGACGATTGGTTAATTGTTGGCCAAGTTCAATATCTACATGGGTAAAGTTGCATACAGCACGTTCAATAAGGAACGTCGATGCATATTTCAAATGATCCACAAGATTGTTGACAAAGCGTTTCTTTTCCTCTGCATTCAATACTCTTCGCCAAAAGATACTTGGCTGGCCGAAATCATCTTCATTTAGTGGCTCGTATCGATCTGCATTACCACTTAAAAAAAATGTAGATTGATGCGCAGCTGGATATTGCTCTGGACCACAGAAGCTATTCGGATAATAGTTAGGCCCGCTACCCTGGTTGTTGATTGTCATCAAACCATCGCGTTGATAATTTATCATCTGGTTTATCATCTGAATAATGAACTTGTGATTAGTTGGAAGTAAGTTTATTCGAAATGAGTTAAGTAAGTTTATTCACTTATGAGAAAAAATGAAAATTTTCACGATTTCGCTTAAATTGAAGAACTGATAAAACTGGAGATGAAAGAAGAAAACCAGTATTCTATGGGAAATAATGTGTGCAATGTATATGCGAATTTCTATCGCACAATATATTTACAAAATCGATGGAATGTTTTTGCAAACGTTCAAACAGCGTCATTTCCAGATCAACACTTTCATTGAGTAATTTTATCTTTATATTTTAAGTGCAATTAAAAGATTTTATCTTCTAACTTTGTTTTCGGATAAAAATTGAAATTTGTAACGGAAGTATTGTTTCATATTACGTAAAATATGAAATATTTTTTAAATCGAAAATTTTAATATAATGGATAAATAGATTTATCTAATTCAAAATTATAAAAATGATTTCAGAAGAAATGGCAACGAATTACATTTCTTTAAATGTGTAAAATAGCAGTAAAAAAATGAAATCCAAGTAAAAAATAAAGTACATATAAAAATGTTATTGAAATGAATTTTTGATCAGTGAAATATCATATAACATTTCCATATAATGATATTATGCAATTCTACAAAAACAGTAATTTACATTAATATGTAATTTTATCTTTTTTACATATAAAAAAAAATTAAATATATATAACGAATTTTCTTCGAGTAATAAAATGTTTATTAAACATTATTGCTATTTTGCGACACGTAAAAGTTTTTGGTCAATGAATAATGAATCTATGTTTACTATCGTATATTTATCAGTAAACGACATACCTTGAATGGGCAATTGACGGATAACTGGAGGTGGTTCGGTCCTAAACGATGCCTATGAGCGTCCCCATAACCAAAAAGTCGTCCTTGCAATAATTTGTCGGGACTGGGCTCAATGCCAGGTACCATATGAGCTGGATTGAATGCCACTTGTTCAACGTGGTTAAAATAATTATCTGGATTCTTATTGAGAACTAAAGTACCAACCGGTATCAAAGGAAAATCTGCATGTGGCCAAATCTACGTAACCATTAATAAATTTTGAAAAGTTAATTTCAGTTAATTTTTCTATACGATTTTTATACTTAATTTTTATTTTTATTTTAAACTTTAAGTGATAGAATACGATTTTAAAACTTTTAAATAAAAACCAAATATTAATGTACAGTATATTTTGCTAAATTTATAATTATTAAAAAGTGTTACTATCTAAATTAAATATTAATATATCTAAAATAATTTTTTTACTTTTGTAATATCGAAAGGATTCCATTTAAATGTCTCAGATTGTGCAATTGTCATGACCTGAATGTAAAATGTCCAAGAAGGATAATTTTTACACTCGATCGCATTGTACAAATCGCGTATGGCATAATCAGGATCTGTTGATGCCAAATGAGTCGCTTTATCATCAAGAAGATTTTTAATGCCTTGATCAGTCTGTAATATTAATAAAATAGTAATAAATTATTGTATCTAAAAGCTCCACCATATTAAAAATAAAAATGTTAAACCTTGTAATGAAATTTACAATAAACAACTTCGTTGTTACAGTTTACGAGCTTAAAAGTATGCGAGCCATAACCATTCATATGTCGATAACCGTCAGGGATACCTCGATCACTAAAAAGTATCATTAGTTGGTGTGTTATTTCCGTTCGTAAGGTAGCAAAATCCCAAAACATATCTGCATCCTTTGTGAAAAAATTTCATATAATTTATAATGGATAAAACCAATCTTATTTTAGATTTAAATAACTCTTATTTGAGCTACCTTTAAATGCGTTACTGGATTTCTTTTTTGCGTGTGAATGAAGCTTGGAAAAAATAAGGGATCTTTTATAAAGAATACCGGTGTATTGTTTCCTACTAAATCCCAAATACCATCTTCTGTATAGAACTTAATTGCAAATCCACGTGGATCCCTACAAAAAAGAATAAATTATAAATTAGCATGGTGATATGTCCAGAATATAATTTAATGATTATAATTTTTTTAAATCAAATATATTTGTAGAAAATTAAAATAAATTATAATTACAAATTTAAAATAGTCATTTAATAATTAATTTGCCATAGTCATTATATTAAAATAGTAGGTATTTGACTTACCTTACTGTATCAGCAGAGCCGAGTTCGCCAGCAACTGTAGAAAACCGTACAAAGATATTTGTTTTTTTCCCTATTTTGGAGAAAATGTTCGCTTTTGAATATCGAGTAATATCATGCGTTACTTCAAAAAACCCATAAGCACCTTGAAATAAAATTTTTGTAATAATTATTATTTTATTTAAAGTACGCCTATTGTTATAAATATTCACGTGTACTCAGTAATTCTGATTATTATATTCACTACAAGAATAAAAAATTAAATTGAGATTTATTATTAGGATCTATATCTAAAATTTATTTTAGAGGAATATTTTTATAAATAGAATATCTTGGAAATATTAAAAAAAAAGAATTATATTTATTGATTGTTAATCGCTTAAACAAAAATAATACTCTTATCAATTGGAAAAGAAATTTGAAATTAAACATGTTATGCTTACAGTTTCTTATTATAAAATTATTTTATTTAAATTATTTATCGATTAAGAATTAAAAAGTTTAATTGTTTCAATTATAAATAAATTTTGTCTATATATCATTAATTTTATAATTGACTAAACCCATTTCTTAATTCAACTTATTTGAACTATAAAAAATATAAATTTATAATTCAATAAAAATAATACTTACCAGCTCCTTTAGCATGCACTACTCTCTCTGGAATTCTTTCTCTGTTAAAATGCGTCATCTCATCAATAAGCGTATTATCTTGCAAAAGGATTGGACCTCGAGGTCCAACAGTAATACTAGATGTTTTGTTGGCAATTCGTACTCCATTTCCAGTCCTTAATAATGGAATATTTCCCTAAAATTGATGAAATATCTGTCAGTTACTTCTAACTCTCTCATTCGTTGGATATATTGTAAAAATGTGCAACTGGTAAATTTATATTCGATATTTAAATTTTGTTTTTTTACATATGAAAAATAATTAATTTTATAATAGTTTCAATATTTAAAATGTATAGTTAACATTTAAATTTTACAGAATTTATACTTTTCTTTTGTACTTAATTATTATGGTGCTGCTATATTTTTTAAAAAGTATTTCAAGTAATACAAATTTTTATTTTATTTTAAAATTTTACAAAAATGAATTCTATTAATAATATGTATTAATAGTATAATTTGAATACATAAAATATTAAAACTTAAGTATTAGATATTTCTAAATAAAAATTTCCATTCAATACAAGTATCATGATAGGTATATATCTAAAATATTAATAATACATTTCTGTAGTTCCATCTTAAAAAACAAAAATAATTTAAACTTGATTATATATTTATAAATTTCACATTCAGTTCTAAAATGTAATTAATTAATTATTCGCAGCTATTATTTTCAATTTTATTAATTAGCTGTATTAATTTAAATGTAGTATGTGTAAAAATTCATTTTTCCTTTAATCACTATAATTTCTATTATACAATCCAATATAGAAACACTAATTAAGAATGATGTCACTCATAACTAATATCGTTATACTTTTTATTTGCTTTGAGAATAAAATAAACAGAATTCCATTTAGAATATTTACAATATTAAAATGACATTCTTAAATTTTACATGAAAATATTTTAAAATAATTAAAATACTATTCATTTGAAATATAATAAATATTTATTTGTCAAACGAAATATAGTTTAAAAAATAAAATTGATATATTATTTAAAATAAAAACTAACAAATGTGTAGAATATTTACGCAAAATAAAAAAATATTCATTTTAATAAAATAATTATTAAATTTATTTTATGTACGTTTTTGTTATCAAATATTAATATTATTAAAAGAAATTATTATTGCCTTATCATATATTATATTTAACAGAATATTTTAAGCAATTAAATATGTATGTAGTATTCCATTCAATAAAAGAGTAATAATAAATTATAATTTATAACAATTTACAAAAGCTTCAATATACATAATTTGATATTTAATTTGATTTGAGTTGATTTGATAAATTAATTTGATATATAACTTTAATATACATAATTTATATATCTTATATTTGTTTTCTCTCATTTTTTATTTATTTAATTAATAGGTATTAAATTAGTAAAATGTTTTAATTTTATATATTTATTATTTTTATTACATTAAAAATTTAATGGAAAATAAATTATTTTATTATATTTTAAATGAAAGTATTTAAACTCAAATATGCATTTATTTAAGTCTAAAAACTTGTTATTGAATAAATAATTTGATATATATAAAAAACATTTAAGCAAATACAAAAAATTAATTAGAGTGTATTATTGTAGTATGAACAATGATTTTATGAATGTTATTAAATTTAATGATAGACCGCTTAATAATATTTAGTCTGTACTTGTCAATGACAAAAATATATTGCATAAAAATAATTTTTTATCTATGGATTAGTAATACTAATAACTCATAGTAATTATAGGATTAATTTGTGTATAGAATTTAATTAAAATATATTAACAATTAATATTTCTATGTAGAATGTAGTCATAATTGATATGTTCTTATGGAAAACATAATTACACGTTCACCTATTATACAGTTAAGTCAGAGAATTATTTTACAAATCAAAACATTGGTTATTGGAGGTGTAAGCTGTTTTAAGATTGCAATAAAACTCGTATATATACCAAAAGTATATGACAGCTTGCAATCAGTACTAATTTATAATAGGTTTAATATCTATTTTAATATTATAAATATTTTCTTTTTTTATTTGTATGCATCATAATCATATTTATCGAGTTATTTATTGATGCTTATATTGTTTATTTAGTTTTGTTTGTTTAATTGGATGTAATTTCTGGAAAAAGAAAATATGAAATATATTTAGATATGCAAGTAATAGAACAGGGTGGTTATAAGAGACCAAAAAATCTCAAAATATAGAAAATAGCAATAATATTTAATAATTTGATCAAATAATAAAAATGAATTAATGTAATGTAAAAATATTATTACTTAATTAATATAAAATCAATATTTGTTTGTGTTTATGGAGATGTGTATGTATGTATATAGGTGCGTATACATATGTATTTCATAACCTATAAAATTAATTTTTTATTATGTATAAACATTTATTGAAATATAACTTCATTTTCTGACAATTAGGATAAAACATTACATATTGTATATTCACCAATAATTGCTTATCTTTCGAATAGACATTATCGAATAGACATTAATAGTAGTTATCTTCAATTACTTTGTACTAATTAATTATCTTTATCAATTAATTATACTGTATTATTATATTATTGTAGTATTATAATGTATATCAATTAATTAATTACAAAATATTTATTTTTACAATAAATTATTTGGTATTTAGCTATATCATATGACATTAATCTACAACGTAATTGTAATTTGTACCAAAGTAATTTTTTTTTATTTAATATTTTATATTTTATACTCCTATACAACACTAACAATATTTATTACATATATTTATAATAATATTTATAACAATACATTGCGTTAAAAATTTTCTTAGATAAGAAAGCCAATGAAAGCATTTGTAACTATGCTATATTATTAAAAACGGAATAATATATTTTATCATTAATTAAATTGTCAGAAATATAAAAAAATAATTTTACTAAAAATAACGTATAAATGTATATTATAAAATTATATAAAAATACAAATTAAAACATTTGAAACGATCTGATTACTTATTTTTTATTAATTTCTATAAATCGAAATAATTGGCATTGTTAAATTTTATAAGTTAGTTAATATTGCTTTATATTGTTTGTAACGGGTATTCGATACTTATGTAGGATACTCAATATATAATGTGTAATCTTATAAATAAATGAAATTCAAATAATAATTATATCATTTATATAATTATAAGGTCATGCACGTTTACTACGTTATTTTCTTCTATCGAGTACATTTAATATCGCACAATTATAGCTTATAAAATTACGATGACTAACCTGTGAGGATTCTTTATACTTTATCAGTTGATTGGCAGCAGGATCTTTAAACATATTTACAGATGCAGATGTGACTTTACAGCTAATTGAAAAATGACGAATTATTTGATATAAATGAAATTACAACTTATTGTTCTGAAATAAACCACAATTTCTACTGATTGGCACAACACTGAGGCACTTATTAGATTTCAAGACTTGCCAACTGTGGTGGGGTTATATATTAACTTCTTTGTTAAATTGAAATAAATAGTGCTGATTCAGCAGTTAGAATTTTGATATCATTTTTATTAAAATATTCATTTAGTAATTATCTCATTCTTATAATTTTATTTTTAAAATCATTGACAATAAATGATTTAAATAATATTAACATAATTTTTCAAAAATAAAATAAAATTCATAGTTAAGATTATAAATTATAACTGAAATATATTTTATTTTATATTACAACCTTTAATCACTAAACAAATCTAAAAATATTTTCTTATAATTTATTAATGTTATTGTAATGTCAATGATTAATAAAACAGTTTATGTGTGTACAAAAATTGTAATTATGTTTATTACTACTTAAAAATAAAGGTTACACAATATAGAAAAATAATATTAATTAAGCATGCCCTTTGACTGTTACCTATGACAATTTTATTTCAAAAATATTTTCTTTAAGGTAGTAAGAATAGTTCACAGGTACAATTTTAATTCATATCTTTTATTCTTCTACAGTCATGATTTGTTTGAAACAGATACATTCTTTTATACTTGAATGTAAAAAACAGATATTTTATTTTTATGTACTCGCTATCATTTTGAACAGTAGCCAGAATACTCAAAGTTTTATCTTGTAAACAATTTTATATTATTATATAATTATTTTTTTGTTCCATCTTGTATCTTTGGTAGGAGATTCAAAGTGGTCTATTCAATAGAAGAAACTATAAAGTATTTAAAACTTTGTATTCATTTCTTTTGTATAAGACCACATAATATAACAAATATTTTCCACTACTATCAACATTGCATATATACAAAATCGAAGTAATATTTCCTATAAATTTATTATTTGATTGCTAATTAAATACCAAAATTACTTATCATTGGAAATAATTAGAGATTTCAATGAATAAATAAAAAAAATAGTATCCTTATTATATATATTTTTCAATAACCTAATCTATTATTAAAGTTTCGAAAGCAAACAGTAATTTATGCACATATTAAATATTTGTTAATGAAGCCTTATATATGTATACATTGTATTAATGAAATGTAAATAAATTACTGCCAAAAATTTGTTTACACAATTAATGTTGCTATTAATAGCGATTCGTAAACTTGTGAAATATAATATGTCAATATGAAATATAACATTACATAAAAATGATTTCTAACGTTTGTACCCTCTATAAGTCTATCGCTTTAATGTATAAACTTTTTAAAATATAGTTAATTAACACGCATTGACAAACCATAGATGAAATCGATATAAATGACAATATTAACGTTTGCAATTATTTATGGACTTCAGATTAATTTTTTAAAAAATTATCAAATTGATAACAACGTAATAGCTGTTGAAAATGTACTAATAGTATTAAAATTTCTCCTGAAACACAACCCTTTTCAAATTTGGCAATTTGATTAGTCACTGATAGTGGCTTTACATTTTTCATTCAATCACTTTAACGAATATAGATCATTGTTTAAAACGGAAGCTAGGCCAGATATCCTAGGAAAGAAGTCCTTGTTCCATTAACAAGACTAGGCATTTGTCACTGTCATTGGACATTGTACTTGCCATACAATTAAATGACTCTGTTCACCTTGTTCCTCAGAGTTTGAAGTTATTGGTACAGACGTTCGTTCGATTCCTTCCTCTGTTTCTTCACCGTCACCTAAAACAATTTTATTTTATTAATATGTACCTTATTAAATTGTCATTACTCATTAATTAGTGATTTAATTATCATTGAAGTTTGTTCTAAATATTGAAAGAACTTTGAACTTATTCTTAGTAAATATTTTGAGATGCAATGCATATATATATATATATATATATATATACAGATTTTAAATACAAAAATTTCCTTTTCACAACCCAACCCCCAGAGAGTGTAGAAAATAATAGTTTAAGTAATCATTTACCAACAAAAATTAAAAATAAAGATTTTTTTTATTAAAGATTATATTCAATAGAATATATTTTGTTAGTATTAGTAAAATGTCCACAATACACAAAATTATTAACATAATTATTAACCTAGTGTCCCAAGCAGAATGAAGCAGATTTTTTGTTAAATATGCTAAGTATATTTATATATCTACCAATATTATTTTCAACTACTACATTCATAAAAATAGTAAGTCAAGCTTTTCACAACATAATTATGTTCATTAATATCTTTAATTTAAAAATACAATTTTTATTATTTTTACGAATGATCCTTCTTGGTTAACTATCAATTGCTCATACTAATATTGTACAGCAACCTTATATGCATCCTAGTACTCTCTGGGGGCATACCTGACTAATTGCCATACAATTAGATGTGTTGCCATGTCACTTTCATCCTCCGCTTCATCTGCTGAAATTATAAGCAAGTCAGGGGAATTTTAAATCATCTGTTTACATAATATTTATTAAGACAAATTATAACCAAATATCAAAAATTTATTATATCGTTATTACTATAATTTTAATACAACAAAGCAATATTAATTATTAAATAATACTATAAAAACACTGAAATAAAAATACCAGTTTATATAAAAAATAATTTATGTAAACTAAATTAATTTTCATAATATATAATATATAATATATTAGTTTGTAGGAATATATATATTTTTTTAATATATACAATTTTTAAATTAAATGCATGATATTAAAATAAAAAACTGAAATGATTTACGTTTATTGTTTTTCTAGTACTATTTATATTTGGCTAATTTTACAAACTTTATTTTGGAAATAAATAATAGTTATATAGCTCAATTTAAAATTATAAAAAGATTCTTAATTATATAAAATTAAGAACATATATATTTTTTATAATGTATAAATAAAATACATATATTTTCAATGTGAACTGAAAAACTTACAATCAACGATTTTATTACAGTATACAACAAAATATGTTGGGTCTTTGATTGAAAATTATTATTAATAAAATGACTTAAAAATTTTAATTATAATTTTAATTTAAGTTAATTTTATGTAAATATTTTAATATTTTTATTAGTCTTTGATATATGAAAGTTGCTATATTTATTCTTTTCAATTAGATCTTTATAATATTATTTATTATATTTATTATTTCTTATAAATATGATCTTTTACTAATAAATATTTTTTTATATTATCTATACTCAAATATTTGTACTTGATTTACTTTATAAATAAATTTCAAGTTGGTTAAAATATTAACTAAAGTTAATTTAATGAAATAAAATAAATAATTAGTTAATAAAAATATATTCATTTAAATTTATCAAAATTAATTAAACATAATTGTATTTTAATGTCTTTAATACTAACTAATGAGCAATTTAATATGCCTGTGACAAGTACTTTAATAAATGAACATATAAAAATAACCTTCGTATTATATTGTTAATTAATGATTCTAATGCTTTAATATGCAATTGTATGAATGTTTATAATAATAAGAAATATATTATCAAAAAATTACAGATTTAATATTCATTGCCAAGTATGCACTGATATTTATAAATATAAGTATACTACTTACCAACTCTAAAATCAATATAACCTTCGCCTCCAGATAAAACAAGCATAGCTGGTTGAGTATTATCTGAAACTGCACTTTGACCACCGTGACCTGTAATAAATGTAAGTGATTATTATTACGCAAATTTATAGGTAGATTAAGCTTATTGTTATTATAATGAATAATCTAAATTTTGTACAATGAGTAGTTTTTACCTGGCACGGCAACAAACATTTTCACTGCTTCACGATGACCATGAAAACTAAGTTGTGCATGAGCCATACTACAATATGGAATAAAACTTCCAGCTGTTACGCCATGATCAGAAGCAAAAACTCTAACACCAATTCCAGGAGTATCGCCTTTTCCACTGCCCGTCTGAATACGTGACACAGCCATTGAACTACCTGCACCTAAAATTAATTACTCGGATTTTATATTATATTTGAGAAAAAAATTAATATTTAAAAGAAACAATTAATTACTTTCAGATAAAGGGACGGAAATAATTACGCCATTCCCTGTACCGATCCAAAGTCTATTAGAAGAAATCAGCAATGCTGTAATTCGTACAAATGAAAAACCAAGTTTTCCAATGCCTAGCATTTTACTAACATAAGGCTCTATATCAACATCTTGTAAATGCTGATATGTATGAGCATGATACAGTCTTAATGTTGAATCTAATCGAATGCTAACCCAAACTCCTTCACCAAGCCAGGCTAATTGTCTGGCCTGGGATTCACGGCGTGGATGTGCATCAACAGTACACTGTAACATAAAACTTTTGGCTATCAAATTTTTTTTTTCTAATTAAATTAATGTAATATATAATCTTTATTATTGTAATAATAAATTACCTCAAGCGACAATGAAATGGGATCAATAACGTGGATTTTATTACGATAGCCACACCAAACTGTTTTACCTAAAACTACAGCCATACATCTTATAGAATGTTGCGGACTCCCCAATGTTATAACATGGTATTGAGAAAGATCCCACTGTCCATCGACTCCTCGTCTGAATACCGCTACTGTACCATCTGCTAAAGCAACTAATACGCGGCCTTGTATATGTCTGCGTATAAAAAAAATTATCTTCTTCTTTTGTTTAATACTCAAAGAATTCCATTGTTGGAAAAAGAATTATTAATTAATATTTGACTTACACAATGGCAAGAGCAGCATCCTGTAATTTAACTGTATGCAAACAGACCGACCAGTTAGCCACTGCAGAATGAACAAAAACAGCTCCGTCTTGAGCTCCAAGCCACATGGTTGGTTGAATAGAAGACATTTTTTCTATCAAGGTATCACTTACCTTATCTAATTTTTCTTCATTATCTTTTGTATTTATATGCAAAGAATCGAATTCAAAAACATTTTTTACAAAACGAACTTTTCCTAAATTCGCTGTTTCTGCATCAACCTCTATGCTTGCTAGTTCTGTAGCAGAATTTGAATCTACACTAATTTTACGCAATTTATCCAATTGCTCTTCTAGGGAAATAGTTAATTTAGTTATTTCAACAATTTTCGAGTCTTCTTGACCTTCATCTGATAGAGCAATCTCAGCTTGATTATCAACATCTTTATTAGTTTGTTCTTTATCATCGTTGTCTTTCAAAATTTGAACATAATCATTTTCTTTAGCACCAGGTACACTAGCAATACACAGCAAGTGACTCTGACAAACATTAAAAACTTGAAGTATATCAGCTGGATTATTGGCATCTATCACAGTCACTTTAGACATTTTTTGCGTGGACGTGCATATCCAAACAAGCGAGCTTAACTGTTGCTCTAATCTCTCAGCATCCAATCTTCTCTTCTCACTTTCTTGTAATTCTTTGTCTAAGTGCTCAACGGCATCTTCTGGATCGATTTTACTGTCACTACTTGTTTCTCGTGCCTCAGCTGCATAGAAAACACTTCCTCCAACCATAGATCCTCCATCGCGAGTTTTACCTCCACTTAAGTTAACACCAGCTCCGCACCAAATCTATATTTAAGTTACATAAGATGATTAAGGCATATATCAATGATAATGGTTTTTAAATTATATATAGAAATGTATATTTCTGAAGCTTCAAGAATCAAATAAAATAAATTAACTTTATCAAATCAACAAGGTCATAGTTTTATTTTCTTGAAAATAAGTATTATTATCTTTGATGTATTATGAAGACCAAATAGCTCTCATATTATTTCAAGTCAACAAATAATATAAATTATTCAGATTTTGTAATAAATTAGCTTACTCTCATTCCAGATTCAGTTTCTTGGATCGGTCTACAATAAACAGGCACTGGAACAGGTTGGCGAGTTGGAGCAATTGGTTTACCTGGTAAACTCCAACCATAGGCTTGCAGTCGACCATCTTCTTTTCGAACATGAGCTCTAACTTGACGATATTGTTCTCTTCTTTCATTTGCACGTCTCGCTACTAATTTTTCAGATGATCTGTAACCAATTATTATAACAAACGGTATAATTGTATTATAAGTAATTATAATTAATATGTGTAAAAGATAAAAATATATACATAATACATATTATATTTTATTTAACAATGGTTAACAAGTAGTTGTATTTTATTAAGCACTAAATAACAATTAAAGGAGACAGGGAAAGATGAAACTGTATTACCTGATAATCAAATAATCTAAGGCATAAGCTGGTTTTTCTTGAATGCATTGCAGAGAAGAAACAAAGTGTAGACCCATAATAAAAACATTAAAGCAGTATATACCAATAATTTAATAAAAATATAGTTTTAAATATAAATTATATTATTTATTTTTTAAATAAATATATTATATACTTTAAACTTTAGAAATTTAAAAACATTTATTCTAACAAATTGATTTGTATACATTTTCTTATTTGATTTTTTCTCAAACAAAATCATAGCATATACAATCCTTCCCATACATATTTTTAAATACAATATGTATAAATACATAATATATCTACAGTAGTGACTTATGATAAAGCCATGCAACATATTAATAAAAAAGTACAAGATAAATAATAAAATAAAACTTTCATTTCATGAAAAATTACGAATATTTAAAAACTATATAACTAAATTTATTATTTCTCACATTGTATCTCCTTGGTCAAGGAAATCATGTCGATTTTTAAGCGCTCGTCTACGCATCATATCCAAAGGAGCAGCTGGAACAATCTGATTAGCTGGTGCACTATATCGAATATGTGGACCACGAATTAGAGGCCCTCGATCTGCTGGTCCCGTAAAGAGACTACTAAAACTATTTATAAATAAAAGTTTAGTTTCTTAAAATTATAAAAATAATAAAATATAAAAACAAAAATACAATTTCCAAAATGTTTGTTTTCCACCCGATATACTAGATGGATCAGTTTTACTAGCACGTATCATTTCTGTCCATCGTACTGCCTCTTGTAATTCCATAAATCTTTCTTTATATTGATTTCTTTCCATTAGTACCCTTGCCATCTCAGCTCGTGTAAAACGTTTTCTTTGCGCCAATGGAACTTCTTCTTCATCATCGCTTTTTGTTGCCTTTGCTGCAGCATCAGCTTCTTCTTTCACCTTTTTTAGTTCTTCTTCTAACGCTAAAACCCGATGTCGAAGTCGATCTCTCGCTTGTTGTAATCCACGAATTTGCTCGTTGAGTAAATCTAGTTCTCTATATTTTTAATATTATAATAAATTATATTTTTATAATAAAATTCATATTGACACTTAAACTTACCCACTTAATTCATCTACTTTTATAATCAAATCATCTTTCACGATGTTCAAAGCATTCCTATAAAAATATTCAAATTTTATTTCACACATTGATTAAAAATTTAATTATAATTGTAAATATACTAACTTTGTAGCCAAAAGCTCATTATTTTCCATTATTAAGTTTTCAACCTCTTTACCCATACCTATAAAAGCAATTATAAAATTCATTTGTTTAATCTGATAAAAATTATTTGAAAATTTCATTAGTATTAGTAATCATAATTATATATTAATACATTTTTAAAAATAATAAGCAGAATATTATAATAAATAAGAAATAAATAATAATTTTTACAATAATTGAAGTACAATATAAATTGCATTGTAAGTTTATTATTTTTCATTAATAGCATAATTTCTTACCAAAGAAGTTGTCATTAACTGCACAATGTAAATTATTCGTTGCATGCATCATTAAATGAAGATATCATGGAATCAGGAGTACAGCATTGTCACAAACAATAAAAATGATTAGTTCCAAAGTTGTTAAATCTTTCGTAAATATTTTACTACACTAACATGCTAATTTAAAGTAAGTTAATAAGAGTTTTATTACAATTTAATGCTTTTATAGTTTTTCACAGCAAAGAATTATAATTAATATATTTTTTCTAAGTATATCACAATATTACAATAAAACACATATTTTAAAGTCTAAAATTTGGTTTTTTTGTACATACCGGATGATGCATATTCTCCTGGATGAACATAACTTCCTATAAAAGATTATAATGTTCCAAGTATCATACAAGTAAATTTTATTAATTAAAATATTAAAAATTACCTGTAATATCAGCTCCTTCATCCATTTCCCCTAAGGCATCTGCATCCTGGAAACTGATTTCTTGATATAATGTATTTGCACTTCGACGTTCTTCTCTATCTGTTCGACTCCTTCCTCCAGGGGTTGTAGCTAGTTTTTCTATTCTTGGAGTTGTCGGTGTTGTTATGGTAGGTGCTATTTCTGTTTCTGGACTTACACCTAAAGAATTAAAAATATTCGTGTTAATATGATTTCTTACTAAATATAATTAAAAAAATTATAATTACGTCTAGAAATTGCTGTTGTCTTGCTTTCTTGTACTGGTTGATCTGTTAACTGACTCTTATCAAACATTTCCACATTTGCATTGCTGCTATTATCTAGCATCTCTGTCCTCAAACTTTCTCCACTAGATGGACATTCTTCTTGAATATCTAACGCATTTGTACTAGCTTCTAAACTTTGGAATCCGTAACTAAGAGGACCAGAACTACGTGACATATGTGTCATTCCAAGTGCAGGTAAACGACTTGGACCTCGACTATTAACAGTGGAATTCTCTAATCTTTCTGTACTACCAACAAGCATTTTTGTTCTTTCCATATAATCAACATGAGTTTTAAATAATTCGGTATAACGATCGTGTAACCGAGAATATTCACGTTTTAATTCAGATTCTTTCTCCTCAAGACGAATAACTAAAATTCAAAATTGTTGTCAATAGTTGAACATTTTTGGATATTGTACATATTATGTGATGGGTTCAATAGTATTAGCTGAAAATGTATTTAAATAAATAAATAATAAAATGATTTTTTTTAAAGAAAAAAAATTATAAATAAAAACTACAATTGAAAAAAAGCTGGACAAATAAACAAAAAAGCAAAACGAAATTTGATAAATTTTTGGTACAATTTCCTAAATAATTTGTGAAAAGCATAAGAAAAATTTGAAACTGAACATAAAATAAACTGAAAATAATCTACTCTACTGTGAGGGATTTTTCTTTGACTGGAGATGTCAGTGGTATTTGTACCGTGGTCGTGTGAATTCTTGGTTTTGAGTTCCAACATTCTAACAATAGATTCAAGACTATCAATCTTTGAAACTAAATCTTTCCGTTCATCTTCTGCTGTATCTTCTAACTCTAATAATTTCTATTACAAATATTTATATTAATATTCTATGTATAACTTTATACAAATTTTATGAACAATATTTTAAATAATAAGAATTTACTTGATCAGATGTTTTTCGAAGCTGCTTTTCTCTTTCGTATTGCGTTACAAGTTGTTCATTGTCTTCTCTAAGTAGCTCTAATTCTACTTCATGTTCTTGATTCTGTGTATATGCAATATCTAAGCACTCCAAAACATTGACTAGTAAGGGCATTAGTTCTTTAACCACATCTTCATCATATCTTGCAATCATTCGTTCAAATTCTTGATAAATACTTCCAGCAAGTGATTGCACTTTCTCTGACATGACGACATGACTATCCTCATGAGTCCCATACACAGTTTCCTGATCCATTTTGATGTCTGTCATTTTTATGAGTTCTGAAATATCATTAATATTTTATTAATAATTTTTTACTTAATTAAAATTCAAATATATTTTATAAATAGTATTATAAAATGTCTATCTTTACATTATTTGGCAGCAGGCCAGAAATAAGAACACTTTCATAAAGTGACTAGAATTATAATTTAATAATAAAAATAATAGATCTTTAATTTTTATTATAATAGTTTGCAATATTGTTATTTATATCTTTCCCATTTAGAAGTATAATTCTTTAATAGAAAGATTTTATCAATAATTAATAATATATCAAGAAGTTAATAAATTATTAATAAAATTTGTTTATAAAATCTGTATACATATGCATAATACATAATACATTTTTATACATAAATACTTGTATCTAAATTTTTATTAATTTATTATTAATAAACAAATATGAGAAAAAATATTAAAATAACTAATTTTTAATGGAATATTTATTTTATTAAAATGGTTACATAAAAAGAAAATAAAAAATTAATAAAATTTTCAAAAATATTATAAATACAATAAAAGGCTATAGATATGCTTAGTATGTATAGAAAGGAACTAGGTGCAATTATATACCTTCAAAATCTATCCTATTTGGATAAGTACAGCAATAAAAAGAACTACTGAAGATTCTGCTCGTATATTTTGGCTTATATTAATTTATTTATGCATTTCTCCATCCATATTTTTGACTATTTAATAAATGAGCAAAAAAAGATTATAAATAATTAGTCCAGCCATACGTATATTCGCAATATTTTCACTGAATTTGCCATTAGTATTAATATTATTTACACATACACGTTATATAGGCTACTGAGTACTTATTCTGATTATCGAAAGTCTGGGTTTTTGCCTAGAACAAAGCAGTCTGAGGTTCCTATCACCTTATAAAAGGCGATGATTCCTCCTCCTATCCTTCGTCACCGTCTTCGTTATGTTCGTCCTCGTCAACATCGCGAGTAAGGGAGTACACGTATTACAGCTGTGATAGCAGTACCACTTTCTACATTGTCCGCTCGTCCATCAGTGTCCTGTACCTTAACTTTTTTGTTCTTTCACTTTGGCTATTTAAAAACATGAGTATCTTAACAGGCGCACCTCAAACACTTCATCTAAATTCAGTATATCTCGTGTCTCCTAATCTCTTACTAACATAGAAACAGTATTCGTCAGCACTGTTTTTCTTTGATTTTTTTTTTTAATTCTTTTTTAAGATTCAACGAATAAAATATAAATCTACTCTTAATATTACTACTCTTATCGACTGTAGATTATAAAGAAAAATAGAGAAAAGTATTTTAATATTTATCAAATTTATAGATAATCCTTATAAAATAAAGAATGTGACAAACTCAAATGCTTTAAAAAATCCTTTATTCTAACAAGTTACAGTCGATAAAATAGATTCCCAATGTAAATGTTTAAATCAACTTAAAAATAATATTATATATTATATCAATGTGTATGGATATGTGTGTGCATATATATATATATAAATTCATATTTATATACACATATTATGCATGAATATATAGCATGTGTGTGGTTATGTAGATAGCTATGCAGGACTGTTAATTGGATTAGTATATTCTTGTGGTCAATACTCCCATCACAAACAACTGTATATTTATTTAATATTTTAATTTGTACAACATCGCCCAAACTGAGAACGACATAAGAAAAGCAGCCTACAGATTAATCGATTCAACATATAGCGTCTGCTATTTAAGAAATACTGTTGAGTTGCCGTATAACCTACGGAATAATCATTTTGATTACTCGATCAGGGCTGTGCTAATGTTAGAGATTATAGAAAATTCTTTTGCAAACATTATTTACAAGTATATGAAATTGAGAAAATAGTTTCTATTGTCTAAAATGCCGCTAGCAACTTTGACTGTTCCTTGGAAACATGAACAAATAAATGAAAAGGTATGTAATTTAATGGATGAAATGCCATAACGCTTGTTATTTAATTCATCTTTACTTTATTTAAAATTTTTAATATTTATATAAGACGTTTACGTACAATAAATTAAAAATAGTAAAACTTATTAATATATTTGAAATTTTTAAATTTATAATCTTTAGTTAATTTTATTTTTTTAAGTCATGTAATTCATTGCTTTAATAAATTAATAGCAGAGCACTGAGATTCTTTCTGCAGAGAGTCAAGAAGAAAATATTATAAAGAGTTCCATGGATACACATTCAAATGGTTGTTCAGAATCTCATGAAATTGAAGTTCGAGATCTTGTTAGAGATGGTTATGAAAAAGCAGAACCTGGGCATTTTGAACTTCTTAAAGTTCTTGGGCAAGGCTCATTTGGCAAGGTTATATAAATTATCTTATTATAATTTTTATTAAAAATACTAAATATCAATAATAATTTAGGTGTTTCTGGTAAGAAAAACATTAGGCAAAGATAGTGGAACTTTGTATGCTATGAAAGTTTTAAGAAAAGCTACTTTGAAAGGTATTTATTTTCAAAATATATTATATTTTATATTTTTAATGGTTAAGATATGATTCATTTTTAGTTCGAGATCGAGTAAGAACAAAAATGGAAAGAAATATTTTAGTTGACGTGGAGCATCCTTTTATTGTTCGTTTACATTATGCATTTCAAACTGAAGGAAAACTTTATTTAATTCTTGATTTTTTAAAAGGAGGTGATTTATTCTCTCGCTTATCTAAGCAGGTTTGCTAAGAAATGTACTTATTAAAATTAACGTTTTAAATTAAATGTTATAATATTATTTTTTCTTATAGCTTATGTTTACTGAAGAGGATGTAAAATTTTATTTGGCAGAATTAGCACTTGCTCTAGATCATGTACATAGTCTTGGGATTATTTATCGAGATTTAAAACCAGAAAAGTAAGTCTTTCTTAATAATTTTATCAAATTTTATATAACGGTCCTTCTTTTTTCAGTATATTACTTGATACAGAAGGTCATATTGCTTTAACTGATTTTGGATTAAGTAAACAACCACTTGATGATACACAAACGTATTCATTTTGTGGAACAGTTGAATACATGGCTCCCGAGATTGTCAATCGCAAAGGACATTCATTTGCTGCTGATTGGTGGAGTTTTGGAGTATTAATGGTTACATTCTTGATATTAGATATATTTAGTTAAATAAAATTATTCATACAATGAATTGTAATATAAATTTATAAATTTTAGTTTGAAATGCTAACTGGTGCAATGCCATTTCAAGGAGCTAACCGTAAAGAAACTATGACTCAAATTCTTAAGGCTAAATTGGGTATGCCACAAGAAATATCACCTGAAGCGCAATCACTTTTGCGTGTTTTATTTAAAAGAAATCCTGTGAATAGATTGGGCTTTAGTATGTATATATTCAACATTGTCATTTTCATGTATATTTTAATAATGTTTTTTTATGATTTAATTAAATTATAGAAGGTATAGACGAAATAAAAAAACATATCTTTTTCCAAACTATTGATTGGCAAAAACTATACAAAAAAGAAATTAAACCACCCTTCAAACCAGCTGTTAGCCAAGAAGATGATGCATTTTATTTTGATAGTGAATTCACTTGTAAAACACCCAAAGGTAAAGTATATCAACATAAAATGTAACATTATAAAAGAAAATTTACTGAAAAATTATTGATAATTAAATTATAATCGAATAATTTTTCTCAATATAGATTCACCGGGTGTGCCACCAAGTGCAACTGCGCATGAATTATTTCGAGGTTTTAGTTTTGTAGCTCCATGTTTACTTGATAATCATGATAATTTTTTTGAACACAAACAATGTGAAAATGTTGCTAGTAATTTCCCAGCTTACGTTAATCCTACTTGTATAACGGATGAATATGATTTTAAACAAGAGATAGGCAAAGGAAGTTATAGTACTGTTTATTTAGCTATTCATAAAGCAACAAAAACGGAATATGCTATTAAAGTATACAAAATTCCAACTATTTATATTCATGAAGTTCATTTCGTATTATTTTTATTTTATTTTTTAGGTAATTGACAGAAAAAAACGAGACCCTACAGAAGAAATAGAAATATTATTACGTTATGGAAGACATCCACATATTGTTACTTTAAAAGCTCTTCATGAAGATGAAAGACATGTTTATCTTGTATTAGAGCTATTACGAGGTGGTGAACTTCTTGATAGAATGTTACAACGTCGTAATTTTACCGAAACAGAAGCTGCTGAAGTTACCTATACTATTACTAATGTTGTACAATATCTTCATGAAAATGGAGTAATAACTGTTATCCAATATATAACATTTTTTCATTAATTTTCAACAATATTTTTAATACAATACGCTTATATAGGTCGTACATCGTGATATAAAGCCTTCAAATATTTTATACGCTAAACCTGGTTGTAATCCTTTAACATTGTGTATTTGTGATCTTGGATTTGCAAAACAATTAAGAGCTGAAAATGGTTTATTAATGACACCCTGTTATACAGCCAATTTTGTGGCCCCAGAAGTACTAAAACGTCAAGGATATGATGCTGCTTGTGATATTTGGTCTCTTGGTATTTTGTTATACATCATGTTATCTGGGTAAGTCTAGTATAAAATATTGAAAAATCAATTATTAACAAAAAAACTGTTTTGTAGTCGCATTCCATTTCCTAATACTCCAGGGGATACGCCAAACGATATTTTGGATAAAATCGTACGCGGTTACATAGATGTGGAAAGTGGTGTGTGGTGCCAGATTTCTGTAGAAGCAAAAGATTTAGTAAAACGTATGTTGCATGTGGATCCAACACGAAGGCCTTCTGCAACCAATATATTAAAACATCCTTGGATAATGAATAGATATCGTTTACCTTTAAATTTCTTACCAGATATTATTAAAGACCCAATCATTGTAAAGGTATTACAAAAATGAATGCATTATTAAAATAAAAGGTAAGACTTAATAAAATTAAATTATTAATAAATAATTAATTTGTCTTAGAACGCTGTTGCAGCAACTTACCAAGTCATGTCTAATAATACAAGATTGCCTCACATAGGTCCAGTCGTATTGTCAGAATTGGCAAGACGTAGAACTCGAACAAAACTATCTGCTAATATTCATATTTGAAATCAGTCCATCATTTTTGCCATTTTACCTAAACTATTTACTAGACAAAGGGTCTGGGACTTGCGACGATGATCGTTGCCTCATCGTTGTATACAACCAAGTGCGTATGCCTCAATTTTTGATGTTAGACAATGAGAACATATAACTATAGTCATCATTTGAATTTATTATAAAGAATTGCTAATATTCCATATAAGTTAAGCGTGTCAAGAATTATGTGATAGTTATTTATTTTGATTTGCGCTTTTAATAGATATATGTGCAGATATATATATATTTTTTTATGTAAGTACATATTTTTTAAAAAATTCATCTTATAAAATTTCTAAATATATTTTTCTGCAATTAAAAGCATCCTAAAATAATAAACGTAAAAAGTAACATCAGGTATATTTATTTATTATAAAATATTGTATAATATTATTTTTCATGAATGAATATAAATATTGTCAAGATTATATCTATAAAAAGCTCTCTTAAATGCATTTAATAGATATAAGAATTAATTTTATCAATTAGTTAATGTTACAATTATTACTATTTAAAAACCTATTATATTTAATTGAATCGAAATTAGTAAAATAGTAAAGTTTACATTATGAATTATAGATAAAAATGTACAGTCTTATTTTGAAAATGTATTTAGATCCGACCATTAAAAATTATAAAATTAAAAGACTAAACATAATCAGTAACGCCGATACACAAGGTTGGTTGTTAACGAGATTTCTTTAAAAAGTTGACAAAATCAATCATTTTTCTCTATTATTGAGATAAATGCTTAGATACATGTTGCCATAATTGTTCTTATAAGCTCATTATTATATGCGTGTATATTTTTATATAAAAATCGAAGAATATACGAATATAAAACCGAGTGACAAAATGCCATAATGATATATTAAACAATGGAGTTTGTGAAGAAAAAAATCTATTTCTTTTATACATTTATCTTTAAATTTTAATATATGTAAGATCATTTTTGCCTGTAGTTGCGTTCTACCTACTAAGAATTATCTCAGGAAAATATTTTATTTGTCATTAAAACTATGTACCTATTTATAACTTAATATAATATTGTATGAATAAACGAATCAAAGGTACTCTGAATCAAAATAAAAATATTATGTACTTTTAAATTGTTTTGAAATATATAAATAAATGTGAAAGATTATCGAAATTGAAATAATTACCCTTTTTACTTTTCATTTTCCATAATAATTCACGTGTAAGCTGAGTATTTTAAATTTATTTTTAAAATGCCCGCAAAATTTGAATATTTTTAAGTGACATCTACTGGAATAAAAATCTAAACATAAATCGTATACTAAGAATAAGCCGCGTTCTAAGTCCTATTATTTAATATACTGTAGAAGCGTAACTGCTATTCGGTTTCTTTCATTTTTCCGCTAAATTTAGAGTCCTGAAGGAGACAATCAAACAACATTTATTTAATTAGACAAAAATCATTAAGGTAAGAGCATTGTGCATTATGTGTATTGAAATTTTCTTTATTCATTGGGAAAGCATCATCTTGATTATTTGTGATCCAAAATCGCAAGCAAAATTTCTGCTTGTGAGCACAAATGAAGCATGCCATCTTCACTTTATTTTCCTGAGCTTGAAAATGTTCCCGCTATTTTGCTCCTTTTATCATCTTTCAAACAAAAAGAATTATAATAGTGTTTGAGGTGAAAGTGAAGTGCATGCATGCTTCAATGTCGATTATTTTACCGCTTGGATGAGGTGCAATACTTTTGGAACAGTGTTCGCGCGTCTACGACAAATTTAATATTACAAAATCAATACTTCCAAGACGTTCATATCACTTTAATATTGTGATACATTTATCAATACATTTTTAGTAAAGTTGTATAATTTTGAGTACAGTTCTTACGAATTATATTACAAGATTTTTTTATATTTTTATTTAAATCATGAATGCTCTATTTCAAGTACCTATCTTTATTACAATTTCTTATTAGGTTTTATGGATATTCAAATAAGATGGGTATTATTTGATTAGTCCATTATTACTTTCATATGTGACTGCTATTTATTGAAAAGAAATTTGAGCAAGAGTACACATACATTTTCTAATGTATACACAAATACCACTGAGCTTTCAAGTATTCAAAATAGGTATGATTGAGTATGTAGGCTAGATATTTATCATCACAACATGCATACAATAATAAATAGTTAATATTTTATGGACATATTTTTTTAAATTATTTTTTATCATTTTGATTCTCATTTTATAAAAAAAATATAAATATTACTTTCATTATACATCAAAAATTACTTCATGGATATCCTTTATATTATCTTATTCTTTTAAAATTTTTTCTACAAATATTTTTATTATAAATTATAAATTTGTAGGTTTTTGCATCATGCTTCAGAAAGGCCCACGTCCTGTGGTTTTCTGCGGTCCATCGGGTACTGGAAAAAGTACATTGATAAAATTGTTATTTGATGAATTCCCCGATAAATTTGGATTTTCTGTTTCCCATACAACAAGAAAGCCAAGACCTGGAGAAGAACATGGGGCTCACTATTATTTTACAACTAAAGAAGACATGCAAAAACAAATTAATCAAGGAGATTTTATAGAAACTGCAACATTTAGTGGTAATCTATATGGAACAAGGTAAAGAAGTTAAATATGAATGCACTTATACTTTTCTTTAATAATTTTTATTTAATAGCTTTATCTTTCTATTGATAATATTATTTATCATTACATGTAGTATATTATACATTTCTGTTATAGTAAACAATCCATAGAAGACGTTCAAAGAGATGGCAAGATATGTGTTTTAGACATTGAAATGGAAGGAGTTAAACAAATTAAATCAAGTTCACTTAATCCCTTATATATTTTTATCAAACCTCCATCCATTACAGATCTGGAACACCGATTGATTGGGCGCAAAACTGAAACCAATGATTCCTTACAACGTCGATTATCCAGAGCAATCTTAGAAATGGAATTTGGTAAGTATAAAAATAATTATAAATTTTTAATTTTATAATAATTTTTTTATTTATATTTATAAGTTATTCTAAATATTATTTCCATTTATAATTGCAGGTGAAACTCCAGGAAATTTTGACATTATAATTGAAAATGATAATATTGAAAAAGCATATAAAAAATTGAAAGACTTTATATTAACTGAATTAAATCAACAAAAGCTAACCGGTATTTATTAAATAAATAATATTTATTTTTTAAATTAAAATGAAGTTTTTAATAATTTGTTTTAATATCTTATACAGAAAATTGACATAATTTCATGAACAACTTGTGTTAAGTGCCAATTAAATTATAGAATTGTTATCCAGTTAATTTGAGCAAAATTTCCAAAATGCTCAAAACGCAAGAACATACACTTTGGAAATTCCAAGTATTAGAGTACAAATGTGATTAGAGAATAATATATTTCTGCAGTGCATCAATTCCTGTAGTTAAAAATATTTAAATATTTATTTTAAAATTAACATTTATAACAAAGATAAAAATGAGAATAATTTTTAATAAATTTTTTAAATGTTTATTGCAAATTTTATAGTTTATTTCACTGTCATTATTCTTAAATTTAATATTAAATATTGTTATTGTTATTGAACACAAACTAGAATTGGCTGCATTGTAAAATATATTTATATTTTTCGTATTTCTATTTTAATAATTAAGTAAAGATATTATTGAATTAAATATATTTATAGCTTTGTAAGATAATTAAGTTACATAAAATAGTGTATAAGATTAAAAAAAATATTTATTGTAGGTATCAGTTTAATAGGTAAATTTTTGCTGAATTTTAAAATTATTAATTTTTAAAATATTATTGATGTGATTTATATTTATTATAAGAAATTTAATTTCACAAAAAAATTAATTTATAATTCCATAGATTATGAAAACATTTAAAATGTATAACTTGATTTTATAAATTATAAAGATGATTATGTCGCGAGATTTAATATCCTTAGTTTGTAGCATTAAAATTGTATAAAGCATATTTAAAAAATTTTTAAAAAGTTTTAAAAATTTTGAATTAACTGTATTTATTGTATTACCAATATTAATTAAATTATAAATTACGTGTCAATAAAAAATTCAATTAAATTTAGCAGTATATTTGAAAACTGTTAATAAGTATAAGTCAAATAAGGATTTAAATATTAATATTAATACAACAACTGAGACTATCCACCACTAAAAAAATTGTGTTTCGCTAGAATAGGTTTATATGTATAAAAGAATTATTCAGAATTATATTTTCTACCTTGAAATGCTTTATTATATAAAAATGAGCAAAGTAACTTAAATTCTATTATTTTAATTTTTATATTCATTACTAAAGAAAATTAAATTTTCCTATATTTATAAAGTTTAATGTACATTATAATAGAGTATTACATTATGTAAAGATCAAATTGATCAAATATAAATTGAGAAATAGAAACTGCCAAAAAATAAAGAAAATATACATCAGATATTTAATATTTTGTGAATATTGTTAAGAAAGTGATTATGTGAATTGAATTTATTTGCTATTATATTTTTTGTCATTATAAGTTTTACTTCAATTATTCTTGGTTATTATTATATACCGCAAAAACTTTTACTATCATTATTATTATTATTATTATTATTATGGAAAAGTAAAAGTATTATCAGTTGCGTTGTTAATACATATTTTGTAGATAATTATTTATTTAAATAATAATTTGTTGTAAATGCCTTTATAAAATTCATGTAATTTCAAACATAATAAAAAATTATGAATTGATGAAATAAAAATTAGAAAAACTGATTTATAGTTTCATTTGTATACCTAAAAGACAAAACATATGCCTGAAATAAAAATTTAACTTAATTTGAAAATAAACAAATAAAATTTTTTCTTTTACGTAAAAATAAAAAATGTTAGAAATGATATAAAATTATTCAGTGATAAAGTATGTTTTTAAAATAATATTCGATAAGTTTCAATTAGAACAATCGTAGATATGCTAATCATAAATTGTTATAGACGGAAATTTAAAATCAGTTATATAATAAATAAATAATATATATTTAAAACAAAATCTAAAAAATCTAATTTTAAAAACATATATAATTACATTTCAGTTAAACATATAAAGCATTAAAATAAATGTTTTATACATATATACATTGTAAATAATTTTATTTCTATAATTATTAAAATGATTTTAAAGATAGCTACATTTTATAGTAATTTATTCTAGCATGCTGTAGGATGTATTTCTAAAACATTTCCAAAATAGAATTACGTTTAGGGTATGATGTTCGACATTCAGAAATATAAATAAACTATAAATATTAGTCAGAAAACTAATTATTATAAATCATTGAAATATAAGTAATGAAATAAAATGTTATTGTATTTGAAAATTTGATTAATAAAATTGTTTATTAAACATTATCTGAAAATGAACTATTAATATGCTTAACAGTTTTAAAAAATTTTAAATAAAATTCACTTGTATACTGTAATAAGTAATCAAATAAATAATAAGATGTAATTTTTTAATGAAAAACTTCACAAAGTAAAATGAAATGGTTAAAATAATTATATTTTTAATATCAAAAAGTTGATTCTTATTATTTATAATTATCTCTATTATCTCTAATGTTAAAAATATAATTTACCATTATCAAATGAATTAGTAAATTAGTTATAATTTAGTAAACTTTTTTTTAAATCAAATAATGTTTTGATGCATAAAATATTACAATTTTTCAATTACAGGTCTTAAAATGTATAGAAGTGAGTGTTTCGTGTAAAATCTTAAATTCAAATTTTAGAAAATATAATGCAAACAAAATTCCTGTATAGAATTAGGAAAAAAAGATAGATCAAACACTAAATTTAAAAATAAAAATTGATAGTATATTTTGATATGTAAAAATTGCATACAGATAATTAATAGTATAACATGCGTGCAATTCGTTCAAGCAAATTCAGTAATGTAATCGGCTAGAATTGGTAAGCATTACAAATAAAATCACAACCGTTATCCCATGATAGAATAAAATAATCTTCAATTAATTGGAGCGGTACGCCTCAATCTCCAATTGTTCTGTCCATGATGATGTCGTATCCTGTGTTTGCTCGTGTCGCTTACCGTAAGCGAGGTGATCAGAACGTCATCGGAGACTGCTGGTAATGGTCGTAATTTAGACATCTGAGGATATCCTGAGAACACGTACTCTAACACCTGACTTTGTGGCTGAAAGACATTCGCGGATTCAGTCGCAACTACACGCTTAGCTAACTGCCCGAGCTCTTCCTCTTCGCGCAGTAACCGACTTGTGAGTTCGCGTAACTTTTTAATCTCATCGAGATTGGCACGTGCACTCCATTTCAATATGGACTTGGAGGGCCTTACAATTCTACTGGTTGGCAACTTACTGGATTCTGGATAGTAGGCCTCGTAGAGGATTGGTATCCGTGATCCCATCAAGCTACTCCATAAAAATCAAAGCTTTTTAATGTGAAGATAAAGAATCGATGTGAATAATCACTTTTATTACTATACATTGAACGTAACACTAACTTACCCCGTTTGTCGGTCCTGGGCCGCAGCATGAGTGATTTCTGAAAAATTAACGTTAAATGCGTTAGAGTAGTCGCGGACAGGGTCTCCGTCTATACCTACCCAGAATAAGCAGTGAAATCACGATCATCATGCACTTGAATGCCATCATTCTACTCGCATTAGTGACACCGCCAGATAGAAAATTTCACACCCGCAGCTCTGACTATTTTTGGAAGTCTGCGACGAAAATAAATTACAGACTCTTCAATTTATACGAACGTTTATCGACGAAGTCATCATTTAGCGGGCATTCGAAAATTCAGATTATGCGAAAACCGCCGGATTATATCAATATAGTTTTTTTAAAACATAATTAAATGAATTCGTAACATTTAATAAAAATTATCTGTTAATTGTTTTTCACTTATTATTTTTTTAGTTGTCAAAGTAGTTCATAAACCATTACTTTTCAATTAAAGTGTTACGTAGTCGGATACGGGAGTGTTTGTATTAGTAAACAGAATTTTTTTAATCATATTGACATGTGGATATAAACAAAAATTACGATTAAAAATTCATGTTCTGCTGTAAAATATCACCTAAATAATATTATAATAAGACCATAATAACAATATAAAAAGTAACGAGTGTATTTGGTTAGCAACACAACTAATCAAAAATACTCCATCAATGATAAATTTATCACATTAATTGAAACTCAATAAAAAATCGATATATTAATTGCACACATAATTCGATGAATTATATATATATAATAAAATTTATAAATTTTAAATGAGCTAGTTTTCAATTAGATTATTCAAATATGTTTTAAAAATCATCTTTAAAAATAAATATACATAAACGATGAGCTAATAGTTTTAAGAACAATTGTTTTTAATAAAAAATTCTGCACATCAATAATTAAATTTATTAGACAATGGCTATTTTTAATATTTGTATGCAAAAAATATATATGACATAATTTATAAAATTCATGCTACTAATTATACATTGTAGAATAATGATTATGAACATAGTTTTGTAATCTCTACTTAAAACAATATTAATATTATATTTTTCATAAATTGTCATTTGTAAGATATTATTTAGAATATATAAACGTAGGTCTTTATAAAATATTAAAAAAATGTATATACATAAAGAGCTTATATTTACTATTCACATTTATATATAGACTTTTTATCATCATTTATTGTATCGTCAACATCTAACTTTTCGTGTATATACTTTATATATTTTATGCACCGTTGTGTACTATACATTAAAATTATTACATTTTTTTCTATTAAACTATTATTAAGTAAAAGGAAGTATTTTATAATTTTAAAGTTTTTAAATACCTATGTAGATTGAATAATATTATAAAATTAAAATCCTACACTGAATTACTATATATTTACATATGTCTACATTATAATAATTTTCTATTGATTTTAAATATTAACATATATTAATTTTAATTCTTAATTTTATAAAAGTAAACAGGTGTTAATATTAATTTTTAATAGAATTTATATTTTATTTTATAATATTTTGTATAATTTTATATTTAATAATAATGGTGAATATCATTCTGATCAATCTTACAAATTTAATCAAGTTCAATATCATAATATAAATTTTAAAAATGGAATAGAAGATTAATTGTTGTTATTATGCTTATCAATAAATCTAAAATTCATATTCTGAGTAGTTTAATTAAGTTAATCGAAGATAAAGGCAATTTAATTTTTTAATTAAATTTATATCTTATTATACAACATTTGTAATATCATATATAAAAGTATCTATAGAATCTATTAATCCTAGTTATACATACAAAATGAAAAAAAGGGGTAAATTTATGAGCATCTGCACGAGATATCAGTTATGAAAATAATTAACATTTCATATTCATTTATTTTGTATTAAATTTTTCGTAATAAGTTGCTAATTTAAATGATAAAAAGCTAATATTTCTTTAATAGATATCAAATGAATTTAATAATTAATTTACAAATTTCAGCGTCTAAATAAAAAACATTCTGAATGTGCAGATCGGAAATGAAATAAACTTGAAACAAGATATAACAATTTACCATTTTGATGCGCTTCTTGCTTAAAATTTTATTTTTAATCAATTTATTTTAATCATAATGGCATCAAATCCAATTCATCTATTGATCGAAATTAACTTTCTTTCTCTATAGTATTTTGAAAAAAAATTCAATAAAACCTAAAATATTAGTAAAAAATGAATTGTTAAATACTTTTCAATATAAATATTAAATTTTTATGCCGTGAAAACTTTCTTAAAATTTTTTGTTTTTGATTATTAATTCCTTAAAATATTTTTATAAATTCAGAAAATGTTACTTATTCTTATTAAAGGAACATCAATATTACGTTTTGTAATTTTTAAATTGAACTATCTTTAATAAATGTGATATAACCAGAATCCAATTTATTAATAATATATAATATATACTAAATTTTTTATTCTTGATCTAATAGTTTATTAATTTAGATATTAATGTAGATTAATATCTAAAGATAGATTTTTCGAAATTTAAATGTTAAGGAATTTAATTAAAATTTAGAATGAAATTTTATACTACTTTCACGCATTAGATATATGTATATATATATGTATATAATTCGTAAACAAACGATACAATTTCGCTTTTCGATTACAAACATAAAAGTATGAAGTACTTATTTCAAATACCAGAGAATACTTATTTGTTTTTCTCTTGCTAATTACTCAAAAATCGCATGAAATTTAAATATTTAATAGTCAATGAGTTTTTTGTTTAAATGGTAATTCATTGTATACTTCTTATGTCACTCTCTTACCTAAAATTCAAACAATTAAACTCTCATATTTATCATAGAGAATGTATATAAAATAATGAATAAATGTTGTAAGTTTGAAAAAATATTTATTCTTTTTTGTATATGTAGGTTAAAATAATTATCATATTAAATAAAAATTTGGATTAAGTACAAATATGTAAGGATGGATTATGCTCGTAATAAATAACACCTGCAACCACCATCGACACAATATTTTCCACTCTTACCCCCAGGTATATTGCCCACATTTTTACAAGCCTTTTGGCATTCGTCTTCTGTGCACTCTGTAAGAAAAATAACGAAACAGAAATTAAAGGAATAATAGAAAACCGTTAGTCACTTTTCTATTATAAAATGATTATAGCTGTATAAGAGAAGGTCAAACTACTCACTAGCTTGGATACTGCAGACAAAAAGCATCGCTACGATAAGTAGCAGGAAGTATTGCAAGAACCTCATTTTGTAGCCTCGAAAATATTAAGTGATCTTACTTTACATATGCCAATAATAACTCCTTCTGCCAGGCTGGATTTCTGTCTTCTCTTTTATAATCACCCGTCAACTACATTTTCTCGCCAAAAGCTAAAGCTTTCCAGGCGACCTTTGCTCTTATAATCTAGCATTTAAAATTAAGTAATTGCTCGCAAATAGTTCTATATAATTACTATGATGAAAGATATTTTGTTTAGATATATGGAGCACAAGGTCTAATTAAAAACGACTTTACGATTGATACATAGAATCCTGAAAAATTGTAATTTTAAATATACCGTTTTAAATATAGAATTTCAAAGTAATTAACATAATTATAATTGATTTTACACAACTATTTTTTCTACAAAAAAACCTACATAACACAAAAAACATTGAATTTAATTACTACAAAAAAAGCATTACTTGACATTTATACTTTTAAATTAAGCTTCTTTTATTGGTTAAATAAGCAGAAAAATGAAGTGGATCATTTTAAATAAAAGTTAAATTATATGTACGATGCTAACATGTTATCATACGCAAATTAATGCGTAGTATAACTGATATGCATTTAACCTTGATATTACTTATGCAACGTCAAACTATGATTTCATTTTATTTTCGTCAAATTTTGTTTGCACTTTATTAAGCAGATTATTTTTTTATTAAAGCAATAATTGAAAATTATTATAAATAAATAAATAATATCTTAATAAATAGATAAATAACATATGTAAATAATAAGTTATAAAAAAAATTTTTTTACATATCTCTCAGTTTCCTACTCAATACAAAAAAACTACCATCAAATTTGTTTAAAAAAGGTATAAAAAAAAGAATTTAAAAAGTAATTGTAAATGTTATACTAAAATATACTACAAAAATATATTTCCAAAATATACGCAGAATGTAAATATAAATACGTATAAATATAAATTACGAAAACTTAAATTTATTAAATATTTAATATTTAAAATATATTTAAAATTCAATATGATGAAATCAATTTTGAGGATAATTTAATCAATAACATTGATTTTTTCCTAGGTCTATTAAATTAAACTTGGCTGGAAAATTTAGTCAGTTCAATATTTAATTTTATAAATAAATTAAATTATTTTAAACATCTTAAAAGATATAATATTAAATATTTAAAGATGAAACTTTTGACATCCATCCATTAGATAAAATAATTATATTAAAAATGAATTTATTAATAATATTTATCGACATATTTAATTACATATTAGTCATATCAAACTATTTAACTCAATAAAATAATTTTAACTTGTAACCTAATTTGTAAATTTGATAATTATTTACTATTAAAACGTAAATTTAATTAAATGCTGTCATTTATTTCTATTTTTTAATTTAAAAATAGTATTATTAAACATATAAATTATATATATATAAAAAATTTTAATACTAAATATTCTAAAGCGCTTATAATAATGTAAATATAACAAAATAAATGGCCATACAATATTCACCGATCATTTATATATATAAATATCTTAATTTTACTTTGTTTTTTTTTATTTCATTTATTGAAAATTCCATTAATTCAACTGATTTATTATCAATCTTAATTTACTTTATGTAAATTTTACATTACAAAGAACAAAAATATAATAGTAAATAATAAACTTATTATAAACATTTTAATACAAAAAGAAATATGTGATATGTTATATGCTATATTTTATTCAACTGCATTTAATAACTTAGTGAATATTATTATTTATTCAGGTAAAAATTGCTTAAATATCTTGCATCGAAAAGATAATGAATTAATATTTTTTACGTATTTAAAATGATATTGAAGTTAATATTTAAAAATAGTAAACTGTAAGACTGTACAACTGTAAAACTGTAAACTGTAAAACTGTAGAACTTTTTATTAAAATCATATATAACGAATTTGATTTTAAAGTCAGACTTAAAAGCAATTATACATTCAAATCTTGTACAAAATAAACTTTTTTA